CCTGAACCTCGAACCATCTTCTGCTTATCCTGCTCTCCACACGACGAAAACCTCATCGCAGTGGGGTACACAATCATTATAGCATCATATAATGTGCAGTAATTGTCATCTGAAGAGAGGCAGGTCTCATTGTCTATGCTTTCTCCTGAAGGTATAAAGATGGAATGATAGCAGTGATCGACATCAGTAAGAAAGGAGAGGTGGTTCACCGGCTGAGAGGTCATGATGATGAGATTCACGCACTGGCATGGTGCCCTCGACCCAGAGAAGAGCCTCTTTATGGGCGATCTGAAGACAATGCAGGTAAACTAGAGGTTTTGTGCTTTCTCTGTTTTCCCCGGATGTTACAGTAGTTGCATCACTTTATTTTGGTTTGGTAGACAAAAGAGTTTTGTTAAATCATAATATGCAGGGATGTATGTTCTTTTTTTCTAACTCTCTGTAAGAAAATGAATAAATAAACACAACAGTGTAATTTACATTACTTAAATGGTTTTCATTATCATATCAAGAAATACTATTAAATATATATTTCAAATCAGATCATCAGAATGTTTATTTAATTAAAAACACAGGCTATATGTTTAAATTCGTTTTTTTTTTACACATTTTTGAATGAACTATTAGCAATAAAATTAAAAATATAATAGTTTCTAACTGGAATTTTTCATTTCAGCTGAATGCTAAGGCAATATTTTCTTTTTTGTGTAGGTTAGATTGAGTTCATACTTTTTGATTGTCCGTTTGTTGAATTTAAGTTACATTGCTTTTACATGCTAACTAATTTTCATTAAATTATAATCAGACTGGTAAGCCTGGTTTATACTCGACTAATTCGCTTGAGTGCATGCGGTGAATGTGACGTCATCACTGTGTTTGTGGAGATTTGCTTTGGGTGCACGCGACATGATTTCGGCTGGCGGAGCGCATGATTTTTTTTTTTAGAGACACAAGCGAACAGTTTGTGTGGCGCTGCATTTGATTTGAGTTAAATATGAAACACTTTGAAGAGATTTTGTCTGAAACAGGTACGACTATACAGACATCTTTATGATCCGAGATCATAGACATAACCAGATGATCAATAATGCTTGGCTAAAAATCGCAATAGCCGTCGGAAAGGAGGAAAGTTTTTGTTAAAAAGTTTGGAAAAACCAGAGGGATAAGTTTGTTAAAGCCAAAAGAGGCCATGGCAAAAGTGGAGACCCAGGTACACAATTATAGAAGTATGTTTTTCCACCAGTCATAGGAATAACACTGATTTATATGTTACAATTTAGAATTTATAACAATTTATTAGTTACAAAACTATAATTAAGGAACAAATTATTTCTTTACAGTATACTGATGGCCTTTTTTTCTAGGCTGTATTAATGATAATGGTCAGGAATGTTGGACCATTATTGCCTTTTTAGCATAAGAAGAGGACAGAAACTAGGCAGACAGAGGTAAATAAAAATAAAAAATCAGTATTTTTTTTAGTAAGTGTACATTTTTTGCTTTTATTCTTGTCTTAATGAAAATATATTTTTGTAGAGTAACTCATGTTCTGTTGTCATTAATATTTTAATAAACTTTAATAGATAAAACTGTTCGAGATATGAACAAAAGCAAGTGATGCATTTAGGGTTTGAATACAATTTTTTAATGGTTAAAAAATCCTTATAATCATTAAAATAGTTTAAAAAGTAGTTTAAAAATATTGAATGATATTAATGATATGACGTAGTTCTGGAAACTTTCTCTGTTTATCCGCCTGACTTTACGGTCAGTTTCTTTTGATCGCCCCCTGCCGTTTTAAAGAATCTTAACGGCGAACGGGGCAAGTATAAAAGCCTCATCCATTTTGTGAGGTGCGCACGCAGTCAGCGGAGAGGTGCTATGAGGTGCCAGGCGCAAGCATAAATCCAGCTTTAGATTGGGGTTAGGGTTTGTGTAAGTTGACATGTATATGTTTCATATAGTCAGTTAAATGTCTGT